TATATATATATTAGTATAATTATTCTGTGTGAGCATGATATTCAAATTTCTAGCAGTAATTTTGCCAGCATCATCATCAAACAATTTTGAGAAAGCAGTATAATAAATTACCTAATCCTTTTCTCCCATTTGAAAAGATAGTGCGGCCGTAGCTAAGGGCGAAGGTGAACTCCCTGATTTGTATTTATACAATTCATTTCACTTTTTTACGTAGTCTTACAATTTTACTACTACTATTTTTAATAATTTTTAGTTGATTTTGTTCTGATAGTATGCTTGGATGGAGGTGCTCCTGCATTCCACTTTCATCGAGGAACTGGCTCTGAAGTTTATAACTGGCTCATTCACCTTCAGGTTAACTAAATAAACTCACAACTTTAAGATATTTTATTTAAAATTTTGGCTAATCTTCAACTTTGAATTTCCAGGGTGGGGCTGGTGTGAAACCACTTCCGATTGCCAAAATCGCGCGGCTTAATCCTAATTCAACAAATATTTAGATTTCTACAACTGGAATCGAGTCAAGGTTAGATATTGTGATGTGTCATCCTATACTGGCGACATTGAAGAAGTTGACCATATAAGTTACGCTATCTTCTTACAGTGCTTGGAATTTGTATTGATGTAACTTTTCTAATTAAAAGCACCAAAACTTTTCAGGCTACTAATCTCCACTTCAGGGGTGCAAGAATTTTCCAAGCAATCATGGAGGAATTATTATACCATAAAGGGATGATATATGCTGAAAATATACGTCCCATTTCCCCTCATAGTCCCACTTATTTCTCTATAATTATATGGTTATAAATAAAAAAAAAATTTGAACTTTGATTATAGGCTATCCTTAGTAGATCTTCAGCAGGAGGGTTGGGTGCAATCCTACATTGTGACAAGTTCAGACCTTTTTTTTCCATTGATACGTAAGTTCATGAATATGAGAAAAATATCAAAAGTATGTTTTTCTTTTTAACTAATTCTTGTATGAGTTTATGCAGGAAAACTATAACTGGTGAGAGACACATTGAAGAGTATTGTAAGAGAGTTGTTGCTTTGCATGTAAGAACCATCATTTAGTAGATTGTTTTTCTTTGATTATTCTTTCTTATTTTTTATCTCAACATAACTTTATGTTGCGTTTTTTTTTATTTTCTTGTACCTTATGTATATAAAACACTAGTGAACTTGTCGCGCTTCGCGCGGTTTAGAAAAAACTTCTTTATGAAATGATCTTCTAATATTCGAATATTAAAAATAATAAAAATAGGTTATATATACCTAATTGTTTACCTTGTTATTTTATATCATGTTGGGTTTCACAAAAGGAAGGAGAAAGATAAAGAAGAGAAATTTCTTTTTATTTTCTTGGCATAAGCTATTCATAATTTACTCTTTTAGTTGCTTGACACGGGTAAACACTTTTTTATCTTTATCTTTTGATGTGATATAAAAAAAATAAAGTGAATAGGTATAATTTTTCTATTCATGAAATATAGAAATCTTATTATGACATACATGTAAAATCCACGAATATACACAAATCTTTGTGGGGAGAAACAATTGCCACTGCATGTCTACCGCCTGTCGTTATCACAATCACTTCAAACCGCGACTATTTTTTGTTCGTTTGAGATCTCTCCTCGTGTAGATTTGATATGTCCAAAAGGAATGAAACATTGGAGGGTAAAAACTTGAATGAGAATGGTGCTCTATCAAAATGAAAGAGTGTTACTTTTCTGTTTTTTGATATTGCAAGTTACAACCACATTTGGAACATATGGCAAATATTAATAAGTAAAAAGCAAAGTACAGCTATTTTAAATTGAAGGGAACTACTAACCATTTCACTTTTGGAGATTGAAAATTTTAATTGGACCGCATTAAAAATATTACTAAATTGTATTTTAATAAATTTAGCTAAAATAGGAAAGATAAAAATATCATAAGTAGCCAAACATAAATAATTTCTATAAATTGATAAAATCTCAATTTTTTTCAATGATATCTATGAGTGCAATTTTGGTCTTTCAAGCACCATATATGACACAACCTATGTATGAGGGCGTGCAAATGTTCCAACTTCTAGGCAACCTATTAAAATATGGTCTTAAGTACCCTGCCTTACAATGATCCTCATTGTCGTTATGCAGGTCCACGCCTGCCAAAGGAGATGTCATTTCATTCTTCACAGACAATACTTGAGGAAGAATATTTAAACTTATAGTATAAAGTTATCTTTGAAAACAAAATGAATTGGTTAATATCCTCAATACGGAGTATTTAGCAATAGAAAATATGAGCATTTCAACAAAGAATGAGNTGAAAAAAAAATGAATTGGTTAATATCCTCAATACGGAGTATTTAGCCTTGGCAATAGGAAATATGAGCATTTCAACAAAGAATGAGATTACTATGAAACGTTCCATTTACATTAAATCTTTAAAGCTATTAAATGCATGTAATGGGTGATGCATTTTCCTTCTGCATTTATATATCTTTAATCTCCATAAATCTTGACCAAACAATTCCATAAATGCACCTCCTCATAATAAATCCCACCATATTATAAAGTATAAACAGAGGTAAAAAAGGCATTCAGCCTTATTGAACAGTTCCTCCATCATAGTCATTTTTTAAGTTAAATACAAATTGAGAAGTAGTTTAAATATATCAAATAAGTAGTTTAAGTCGTGGAAATGGCAATGTATCATTATTGATGATCAAAGACCATACATATTGATTAAATTAAAAGAAATGCTATTTATTTAATAAATAGACAGGTAGACTAAAAAAATCATGACTATGCTTAACAGAAAGTCCACATACGTTTGTATAAGCTCACCAATATACAGTCTCCCTCCATATCTTATTTAGGCACACATTTTATTTTTCAAACTTTTTGCTATAAACTTCACATAATTATCAAGTGATGCCATCTGAAGGTTTTAAAGTCCACCAATCCATTCTTAAGATACATCACAGATCTTTGTCCTGAAAAGTGAAAACCGTTGAGGTTGAGAAGAGCTTTCCTCAAAGCGGCAACTTAATCACTTCACTTTACCAGCCTCATTTCTCAATAGAGTCCTGTAAATGTCTGGTGTCCTTCTGGTTTAAAATTATACAGCATATACAAAGCATGTAGATTTTCTGTATTTCATTAGAAAAGAGTGTTGTAAATTTTAAGTTATATGGAACCTCTATATAAGACCCAAGAAAATACATAATTTAACATCATTTTCATACCTTTATCGGGATGTAATTTATGTCAGACAACCTTTGTAAGTTTTCTATGAAATAATGGACACAATCTGGAAACAGAAGGTCATTACAATGCAAATAAGCTTATACAAGTCAAAAACCGTGTGAGAGAAAACTTAGCCAGGGAAAAAGGAAGAACTACTATTTGCTAAATTACCTAACAAAAGATCAAATGTAATTGCGACCGAAACAAAATCTTAAGCCAAAGCAATAATACATTCAGACTTAGTCATGTGCGAAATACTTAAGCAAGAGAATAATCCAACCTATCAACAAAATGACAAATTGAACATAACACATTCAAACTTTAAGAAGAAGATTGGATAAGCGGAAGATTCATTTAAACATCACCAAGAAACAATCGAAGTTAATGAGGCTTTTAAGTTAATAATACTAATATAGCAAGAATTTTGTATAGTCAAATGAAAATGAAAAGTAACAGGATCTATCCAATATTAATATCTGAGGTTACAATGAAAATCTAACGTACTCTAAACTCCTTATCAGTAAACTATAATCAATATTTATAAACATAAAATAAGACCAATGGTCATTAGTCATCACTATTAAATTAAAACTCTTGCCTAACCCTTAATAATGACAAATTACACTTAATTCTGCCTATGTCGCCTCCTATATGTATTTTTTTGTGAGCATCTTCTTCTCTGGCTTTTGTGCTTTACTTTTTCTCTCTTATTTCTAGCACTATTTATGTGATATTGATTTTGTATTTTCACTACCTTCATTCCTTTCTTCATCGCTGCTACAACTGTTGGTGAGTCTTAATCTTCGTTTGTTTTTCCTTCATATTTTTTCCAATTTGGTATTTACATGGATATGGATAACAAGGTAGTTAGTTTTCTTCCTCCTTAATTTTATTCAATCATAAATAAATTATATACACATATATGATCAATCTTTATCAAGTTGAGCTAAAAGGCATGAAAAAATTGCTACTGATTAGGGATAAATAACGACCAATTTATAGTATAGCAATTAAACAATCATTTATGCCACATAAAATTATGTCGTGATTAGATAGAAGTTTTAGATGTTTCTTATTGCAAATTCTCTCACAGAATTTAAGTTAGTTCAACTGCGTGTTCTTGAAACAAATTGTGTAATCAAAATAAGGAAAGAACTTTGGTAGAGCAGAATAGATTTAGACAGTATCATAAGTTTATTTTTAAAAATATAATTTACGCCATTAGGAGGCGTAGTCCTTATATTGCTAACCAAAATTACAGCATAACAGAGGAGGGCATCAACCAAAAGTTCAGTATCATAAGGTTTTATAGGAAAATATGTTAATTTTGATTGGTTCTTGGCAATTTTGGAGTACTATTAATTTTATAACCTCCCATTAATGCTCTCTGACCGTGAGTTTTATTTTTTTCTTTAGCCTTCTATGTTACGTGTTTCGGTGTCTACGTCAAGACGATCTTATTTTGAAAATCAGTTCGTAATGCTTTGAGTTTGAACGCCAATATTTGAGGCTATAATGACAGTCTAATATAGTTTAAGCTCCATATCAGTAAAATACAATCAACATTTGTAGACATCGTTGACANACATTTGTAGACATCGTTGACGAACACTTTTACCATTAAAAGTATCAGTAAAGCAAAATTCTTGTACTCCATATCGGACACACCCTCAGTTATCAATTTTGAAAAAGTTATTTATATTAGAATCTTTACACCCTTATGCAAAAAGCAAATAAGTTAAGAATCTCCGGAGCGTACCTCAAATACGAATGGAGAAAGGTCAAACTGAATTTTTTCACGGCCTTTTGTTGGTTTAAACTACCATCTATCAACCTAAAAAGAAAAACAAAACATGTGCTCAACTCAATTGTTAGAACTTAAAGGGTCTAACATTAGAAGGCTGAAAATATATGGAAAGAAGGCATAGTTGGTAAAGATTAACTTTAAAAGGATTACATACCGGCAAATGTTGAGTAAATTTGCAGCATTTCATGAATCCATGGGCAAGGTCAACCTATAGGGCATATTTTTGAATATTTCATGGCGACATAAGCAGTTGTTATGCTGGCAAAGGAGTGAGTCAAAGACATAGCGAAATTAAAAATCAAAGCGAAAGTAACTGGTAAACGCAAATTGAAAATGACCGTAAGGAAGAATTACATACCGGCAAGTGTTGAGTAAATTTGCAGCATTTTCTGAATCCGTGGGCAAGGTATTGGGCATATTTTCGAACACTTCATGGGCGTCAAAATAAGCAGCTGTTATGGTGACAAATCAGTGAATCAAAGTTAGAGGGGAATTAAAAATTAAAGTGAAAGTAACTGAAAAACGCAAATTGAAAATGACCGTGAAGAAAGAGTTTAGAGATTAGTGGAGGAATTAAAGTAAATCAACAAACGTGAAGCAAAAGCAGTGTAGAATAAAAAAGAGGGAGGAGAAAGAGTATAGAGAATTTTAACAAAGGCAAACGAAAAGAACAATAGGAAAATAGAAAGATAAAGGAGGATGAATACTGAGATAGAGGGAGGAAAGGAAACAGAGAGAGTAAAAGCATCTGTTGGAAAAGAAACAGCTGTTTTTTAAGCGTTATATATTTTTGGTTTTTGATAGTAAAAAATTAAAGAAAATAGCAAAAAATCATAGAAAAAGATAATGGCAGTTCCTATTGAATGGGAGCGCCACCTAACAACGTTAGGGCCCTCAATTATAGATATATATAGATTGTTGACTCTCTTTTGGGGTGTATTTAGGGATCAGCTAAGAACCTACCACTCTCTTGCACCTCCTTCAGCTTAGACCCAAGTTTGGTAAGAACGATTTTATTTATTTTGTAACTAAATTAGCCAACATGATCTTTCTAACTAATAAGTATACAATCCAATGATTTGACAGTGCTTCTTCCCTCAGTATGCAGCACAACGTATTTGCACGCCACTTTTCATCATCAATTCGGCCTATGATTCTTGGCAGGTTAGAAGATCAATTTCTATATATGATAGTAACTAATAAGGTTCTGGATTTATTTTGTTTTCCTTTAAATTCTAAATTAAAGGGTTTGACTTTTGATTCTTAAATATTAGATAAACAACAGTTTGGTTCCTGAAAGTGTTGACCCTCAACATGTTTGGGATACTTGCAAGAAAGATATAAATAAATGCTCACCAAGTCAAATCCAAACTCTCCAAGATTTTAGGTTGACATTCTTAGAGGCATTGAAGGAATTAGGACCAAGTATATCAAGAGGGTATTTCATATCTTCTTGCCATTTCAACAATGGCATTGAAGTAGAAAGCTATTGGTCCGATAACAACTCTCCAACAATACCTAACAAGGTCATATTTTCATTTCTTTTATTCTTTATATTACTATAATTTTTCAGCTTTCTTGTGTTGTTATTTGACAATAACTCATTGTACTGCAGAAAATTGCTGAAGCTGTTGGAGACTGATTTTTTGGTAGAAGTGGATTCCAAGGGGTTTACTGCCCCTATCCTTGTGGCAGATATTGCCAATAGGGGTTGCTCTTGTTGTACTACTAGCTATTTCAGATGGTTTTTGTATTTTTATGTGAGGATTATATAAAAATACAACTAGCCGATGTTGGTTATGATTGTTCTTCCAAATTTATGTATTATTGCAAAATATTAATGTTTGTTTTGTTTTCACTTCAACGTGTTTTTATATATAATATTTAATTGTGTGTGTGTACGTGCAACCCCTATTTTCCCTTGAAAACAAAATTGCAAACTGAAAATTTTATATCGTTCAAAATAAAAGTTTCACCATATGTAATAATCAATTGATAGAAGAAAACATTCAATGTAGGTTAATTAACGCATGCATGCGATGAATGTTTCCTGCACTTTTCTGAAACTCCAAAAGGAGTAAACAAATTTGGACCTTACGTTACAAAATTAAGGACTTATTTATGAGCCATTTCTTGTCTCACATAAACTTGATAAAGCATTACCAATCAGAACAAAATTATTTGGCAGACACAACTTGACTAGTAAATTGCGTAAGCTAACTTAGTTTTTATTTATTTCTTGAAAGTATTTCTATTCTTTAATTTGCTGCTATATCTATTTAATGATTTTTTATTTTATTTTATACCACTAATGTATGTAATAATTTTAGTTAACCTATCGATTAGTTCCTTTTCCATTTCATCTACAAGACTTTAAATGTTCTTTTTATTCAATGTTTATATATAACTCCCGAGTAAATGAAAAACTTTTCTGATAATTTATCATAGATTATCTTATAATCAATTTATGTAAAGTAATATGTATTGATAATGTTTTTCATCCAAAATTATTATTCTCAATAAGGTAAGTCTTTTTATACATGCGTAATTAAAAACCACATTTACATTTCGTTTCATTCTAAATATGATTGCCTGTTTGCATTTGAATGGAAGGATTTGGGCATGTAAATTTTAAATTCACAAGTGTAGTTACTCGTCATTTGCTATACATATGCGCAAGAATAGGCCTCCCCCATATACCAGTAGATATTTTTACTTTTTTATGTGGGTTAACACTTAAAAAATATGCCTGCTAATAAGCTGCCAATTAGTTTATGTTTCAGAATATGGTTACCAAAATTTTTTTTATTGGTACTAACAGATGTATTATTTTGCAGGAGATATGTATCCCGGGAAAAAAAAATGCGTTTTAAGCAAATTATGGTGGTGTTGCAAATTTGTATTTTTATATTAATTTTATTTCCTGAGATATTGGTAAACTGTAGAACTCCCGAAGAAACGAAGTTAATTTGCTATCTGGTATGCAGGGAAGACTGGGGGGGTTTATGGATGGGACTTTACTAAGAACCTTACTCAAGAACAGATTAATGAAAAATGCAGAAGGGGAGAAAGATTTAGGCCATGTGAAATTGATGGAGAATTGATTTTGTAATTCATTATAAATATTTTTTTCTTATATAATTCTTGTCACATGAGATCGGGAAAACATAATACAGGATATTTATAAATAAAATATGAGATATCTTTGTAAGATTATTTTCTTCTATTCAAATTTTGAACAGACATAGGAGATCATTTTCTTTGATATTTATTGGTCAGCACTGTCATTATCCAAAATTACAAAAAGATCGTTACTGCCAACGTTAATCCTCAAAAAAATAATTATTTTTATGACTTTATAAATAATAAATAAATAAATAGATTAAAAGCGATATTTTAAAAACACAGTGAATGGAGTGGAACTACAGAAAACATTGACTTTTTAGAAAGGTGCCAATTAGTCCATATTTTAGAAGAGCTAATTACCAAGAATTTTTATTGGTGCTAACAAAAGTATTATTTTGCAAGAAAATTTTATATCAACAGAAAAAAAAAAGATTGTAAGGAAATTATGGCAGTATAGCATATTTTTATTTTTGTCTTAACTTTATTTCCCGAGACATTGCATAACTGTAGAACTCCTGAAAAATTGAAGCTCCTTTGCTCTACTTGCTGCGTTTCATTATACTTCTATATAGCCTAGGTTAGTTTTGTTCTACGCTTAGGGATTGTCACGATATTTTCTGGTTATCCTTAGTGATACTTAGCCCGTTTGGATCTGTCACGTATGGCATGTGTTGTGTATGCAAGTGACAAGTCCGTGGTTAGAGGCAAGTTTTCTAGATTCAGAGTGCATGCTCCGTTAATTCATTCTAGTGGTAGCGGATCTTTCTCATGCTTTCATATATTTTAGACATTTATATTAATTCAGAGAATGCCTCAAAGTTCTATGTGTTCAGATTTCAATAGAGACTCATGACTTGACTAGTGGGTTTAGCTTTTTAGACGTTTTATCATTTGAATAGTTATTCAGTTTTTTAGTCAATTATATTTAAAGATTTTATTAATAGTTAATGACTTGATAATCACTCACGTACTGAGCTAGAACATGATTCTCTCAATGGGTAAGATAGGTCTGAGTATCATCACGTCCCACCCCAGTGTGTCACCTACAATACATAAATCTTCAAATTATGCACAGGCCTAAGGAACCCTGCATTAAATTGTATTCCTACCTGTTAAGGCAAAGTTTGGTAGGTAAAACTTAAAAAGAGGGTCAATATCTGTATTTCCATTTTCTGTTATGGAAAAAGAAGTACTGATTAAAGAACTGCTAAGGAGCCGTTTGGTTCAAGAGATTAGGTGGGATATTCCGATATAAATTTTGAGGTTAAATTTTTCCGCGTTTAATTGGAGGTATTAACTAAAACCAATATTATTTTATACCGAAATTTTAGTATAGCTTACTCATTCCATTTGAAAGGTAGAATTAACTATCCAGGTAATTATAATCCTAGGATATCCTAGTTTAAACCACATGACCCCTAACAGTTTTAATCCTAGTTCTTGAAGCTCTTTCTTTGCAGGCTGCTATAATTAGTTTAGTTTTGTCACATGTTTCTACAAGGAATAGGCACCCATATTCTAGTTTTTCCTTTTTTTCCTCTCTTGAAGTTACTATCTGGTATACAATTTTTTTAACAATAAAAGAAGAAACTAAAAATAGGCTGTTGTAAGCGACTGATGTTGTAACATGGATCTATAATAAAGAAATCCCCAATATGGTGTAGTATTTTAATGAACTTGGCTCGAAATGTTTTTTGAAACTCCTTCTACTGGCTGCTAAAATTGGTTATTGAAAGAAGATTGGTTGACTCGATCACGTTGCATGGTTATACGTTCCATTCTGATGTATAGAGAAATAGAGTCACATGCATGGGCAGAATTTCCTCTGTCCTGTAAAATATAAATTTTCATCAATATGAGCAATAAAAGATCACATATGCATTACTATGGATACAAGAAGAACATCCTGAATGTGGTAAAGTTGGCCAGAAATTTCCTCTCCCCCTCCCCCCTCCTGAAGTCCCCATCTCGTATTCAATTTTGTTTTATATATGTCAACAAAGGGTTAGAAATAGGCTGTATTCACTTCTTCTTTACAGCTAGAGAGAGAAGAAAAAAATATCCCTAAACTTATTTGAGCTGCTTCTTCAACTTCAAGTCTGAGTAAGATAAAAGCCGAGAGTACGTAAGATAAACAACATTAATCCCAATATATCATAATCATAGTCTTCCAATCACTCAATCATTGACGGATTTCAAGAAATAGGCTAAATATATGTTTTTTCAGCAGAAATAGGCTATAGACATTCACTAAATTTACAATCTTGATCTTACTTGATCAATTCGATCTTAAAATTTTTGGTTATTCTTGTCTACTCTGATTGTAGAGACAAACAGAGTCACACGCATAGGCATTAACATCTTTGTCCTGCAAAACATAAATGTGCTCCAAAATTAGAAAGCAAGAGTCACATATTCAACAAGATTTTTAGTAACCAAGTTAAATATGATTTGTCATACAATTCGATTATAAGCAGTTCAAATATTAAGCATGTAGTTGACCGATTTATTTTATTGGGTGTGGAATTTGAAAGTAAGGGTATCACATGCGACTAGTTAACCTCTAAATCGTACGGACTCTTCATTTTTGTGCCGCACCCATCTCGACACGGGACGGGAGCGGGATACGTCCCGAATTTAGTCAACTAATTTCGAAAACTTTGACTTGAGTCCATCGACAAATTTGGAGGGAAATTGAGATTTTGATTTCTCAAAATTAAAAATAAAATAGATTTAAGACGTCGGAAATGACATACCTTCAATATTGTAGCACTTTTTGAAAGTACAAGAGGGGAATGGTGAACTATACGCCTATTAAAAAATTGGTCGACTACGGTATAGGCTTAGTCGACTGATACAGAGACAGCCTGCACAGATCTTTCTTATCATACTGTCATGGGTAAGTGGCCCAGAAGGGCCGTCATGAGATAACGGGAATAAAACATAAGGGAATACTAGATATAGGACGACCCAACATGATATAGAAACTTATACATGTGACATACGGGCCTATAAGGCCGACATGATCATTTGTATACTCAAGACATACGCCGATAAGGCTGTACAAGTATCCATATACATGTCATATGTTTACAAGCCTCTAAGAGTACATAAATGTCATAAAGGTCGGGGCAGGGCCCCGCCATACCAATCAATACATATTCAAATTATACTGACCAAATAGGCAATTCCGGAGCAAGTGGAGTACACAAACACCTTCTGCTTAGCTGATATCCTACTAGGAGAACTCTCAACCTGTCTATCGGGATCTGCGGGCATGAAACGCAGCGTCCCCAGGCAAAAGGGACGTCACTACGAATAATGTACCGAGTATGTAAGTACATAATAGACATGAAAGAAACATGAAGTAAAGAACTCAACCTGTAAGTCTGAATAGCTTTGTGAATCATGAAAATATTTATAATGTCATGTGTATGCATATAAATGTCATATCATGCATAGGTATATGCGTACACAACATCATCAAGCCTCTGAGGGCATCCCATCATATCATCT